TGATCTCAGGGTCCTGGGATCGAGCCCCGCATCTGGCTCCCTGCTCAGAGGGAAGCCTGCTTCTCCCTCTCCCACTCCCCCTGCTTGTGTCCCCTCTCTGGCTGTGTCTCTGTCAAATAAATAAATAAAATCTTAAAAAAATAAAATAAAATAAACAGGGGGAAGTACTGAGCTGTGCAATTTTGGTTAAGCAATTTAATTTCTTTGCATCTTTTATAAGGAGTAGTGAGAAAGAAAACTGGAGTTATAAGAATAATAATGGAGATACATAAAATAATGAGAGAAGTCGGTTATGGTCAGATCACCAATGGCCTCAGTTGCTGAGTTGATATGTTTGGACTTCCTTACCTTTTCTTTTTTCTGTCTCTTCTTTCTTGGTTGTTCCAAATCCCCTACGCTATTTCTGTTGTACTGGGTTGAATAGAATTCTGTGGCTACTCTGTAAATGTAATAACAATTGTCCATGAGAAAATTAGTTCCAATTTCTAAATAACTAATTTACAATCTAATCTTTGCAACAGTTTATTCTTTTATGACTTGTCATTCTGTTAGCATTACTTAACCTTTCTGCTCCTCAGTAACTTCTGATTTACAGAATAGGTGAGTTAAGCAAGATATTCTCAAATGATATTTTCAGTCTAAAACTTCAATGATTTATATGAAGTCCTGGCATGTTATTAGCAAAATGTCAACATTTATCACTCAATCCAACAATTTTCTCTTTCAGAACATTCCTTAGCAACATTAAAATATTAATATTTCTTCCACAGAACTGGCATTTAAATAACCACAGGAAGACATGCCTCATAGTTGTCTATAATATATAAGGATTGGACCTGTTAGGTGATGTTAAAGGGAACTACATAGAAATTTACATTTATCACGTGCCTCTTATACATCTGGAACTCTCTTTAGTCCTTTTATACGAGGCCATTTAGTCTATATGTTAGTATGATCTTCATTATACATATGAAGAAGGATCAACTTGCACAGTGTGACATCCAAGTGCTGGATGTGGTATGTGAACCTAGATCTGATTAGAAGCTCCTTCCACCCAGTAAAGCTGTGCTCCTAACACAGAACAAAAGGTATAAATTCCAAATAAGGTGCGATGGAGACAAGTATAGAAAATGTCTGTATTTCCTGGGGTAAAAAGCTAAGCTGATACAAGAGAAAAATGGTAGTTTGAATACAGTAGCTTAAAGAACACTGAAGTTTTTTTTTTAAGCAAATTTTTCTTACACACATTTTTTAAAGATTATTTATTTATTTATTTATTTGACAGAGAGAGACATAGCGAGAGAGGGAACACAAGCAGGGGGAGTGGGAGAGGGAGAAGCAGGCTTCCCGCTGAGCAGGGAGCCCGATGCGGGGCTCAATCCCAGGACCCTGGGATCATGACCTGAGCTGAAGGCAGACGCTTAACGACTGAGCCACCCAGGTGTCCTGAAGTTTATTTCTCTTTCATTTACCAGCCCCAAGGTTAGCAGCCAGGTAACTGGGTGCTCTGCTCCTCAGAGTCCTTCAGAGGTGCAGGTTCCTGCCATACTGTTGCTTTACTGTCCTCGTACGCATTCTTAATGATGGGTTCTCCGGAACCCATCGGAAAGGAAAATAGCTCCTGAAGGAAACACACATCCAGCATGGGAAGGCCTAGATCGGCAATCAGCCTTCATTCACATTCTGCTGACAAGATTTTATTTTTTTTTAAATTTTATGTATATATTTTAAAGATGTGTTTATTTTAGAGAGTGTGAAGGGGGAGGGGCAGAGGGCAAGGGAGAGAGAATCCTCAAGCAGACTCCCCACTGAGCGTGGAGCCAGATGTAGGGCTCAATCCCAGGACCCTGAGATCACGACGAGCCCAAACCAAAGGTCTGCCACTGGTAAACCGACTGAGCCACCCAGGCACCCCTCCACTGATAGGTTTTAGTCATGTGATCTACACCTAGCTGCAAAGAAGCTGAGAAACAGTTTGCAGCAGGACAGCTATACTCAATTAAAATTATGAAGAAAAAAGAATGCATTCTTGTAGCCAACTAGCATACCCTCATATAATGTCATTTCTCAGAGTAAAATCAACAGACTTGATAAAATAATCTGCAAAGCACCTCCTTCAAATAGATAGTTCATATTTATGATCAGTAGAGTAGTGTGTTCTATAAAACTTTATCCAGAGGACTGGGAAATTTGATTTGAGATGTAATAAAACAAAGATGCAATCTATTCCTTGTACTCGAAGGCAACCAAGATGGTTTATTTCACCAGAAAAAAAAAAATGGCAATTTGCATGAAAACCAGAAGGAGAGTCAAAGACTCAGACACGTCACTATTGATTGGTCCCTCCCGCACTCCTGTGGCCACAGAATGCGCTCACCTTGCTGGGTGGGCTCTGTGCCTTCAAATGCAGGCCACAGACACAGGCACCGTGTGAAGGTTTCTTCCCTCCTTAGCTGCTCGCCAAGCGTGAAAGCAACTCCATCAAATGTGATAATAAAGCAGATACAGAAATGCTCTCCTGGAATGGCGTCAAAATGAGCTGTGGTTTGAGAAGCATAAATATAGAGTGAAAGGAAGAGTTGGATCTGAGAATCTCAACTCCTGTGACTGAGATCTTCTCATGTGTCACTGAAGAACTCTGCTGCACATCCTACAGCTCGCAAGTCTGAGATGCGAATAGGCAAATCTACCTATTACCTCCCATTCTTACGTGTCCTTAGGAGAAATACCATAATTATCTGTGATCATCCTTTCAGTGTGACCAGAGGCAGCACTAATAAAATGACTTAGTAGTCAAGTAGACACAAGAGTCTCAATTGGGGACATCCATTAGAAGTCCTGGAAGTGATTTCCTAAAAAACATTTACATTTCTTTCTTCTAATTTTACACTTGCCAAGTAACTTTCTGTTGTATGATTTTGTCTTGAGTGGATACAGACGCTGGAAGAAAGCACTCCAAATATAAATTAAAAGAATTGCTATCAATTACTAAGCACTTACTAGGCGCTAAGCAGTTTTAACATTGTACATGTGCAAACTCATTTTATCCCCACAACCACCCCGAGGGAGGTCCTATTACCCCTATTTGAGAGCTGAGGGAACGTAACTTGCCTAACCAAGGTCACACAACCAGGAAGCCGTACAGCCAGGATTCAAACCCTGGCCTCCTGGCTCCTAGGAGTTCCTACCACCGTTTCTTACTTATATATCAGAAACATCTTTTACTGTACATGAAAGAACTTGACATAATAGTTTATAAATTAGACTCCTGGAAGTTTGGAAAATGTTACACACAGCAGAGGCTGAGCTGAGAAAATCAAGTCCGGAGGCCTGCAAAGCCAAGGACCACACGAAATACGTGGTTTGAGAACTCTGTAAAGTGTTGCCTCCGTGGTCAAGTGAGTCCCCTCTTTTTTTTTTTTTAGTATTTCCTACTTGCAACATGGAACTTTTTATTGAGATACAGATTTACAGGTGGTTCAGGATATTCATAGATCAGGAAGGCAATTCAAAATCAGTTTTTGATTCTATAGGGGCCTCAAATCAATTAGACCATAAAGTCATTTTCAAAAGTCAAACCTAGCTCTTTTTTTCTATCACCATAGTGTATTTTTACAAGCTTAAAATGAGATCAATTTTCTTGCCTAAGCAGTTTGCCATCAGAAACATTTCTGAAGTCGCCAGCAAAATAAAAAGAGCAGTAAGTATATGTAAGTAGACTAATCAGAAAAATATCAGAGACAGGGAAAGAAGGTATTTTCTGTTTCTGAGTCTTCATTTCCTTGCTTTATTTTTTGAAAGATTTTATTTTAAAGTAATCTCTACACCCAACGTGGGGCTTGCACTCACAACCTCAAGATCAAAAGTCACATGCTCTATTGACTGAGCTAGTCAGGGGCCGCGGTCTGTCTCTGACCCTTTGAATGAGAGGGGACAGAGCTGATACAAAGAATCTTTGAGAATATAATACAAAGAGATAACTGGAGATAAACATCAATGTGGATTTTGGTGCGGGAAGCTGATTAATCATGAGTAGGAAGATTTGCTCTCCAAATGGAGCTTGGCAATTTGTAAGTGAACAGAAGCTTCACTCATAACTATGTAAATGATGCGAAGTATTTGTGCTTTTTTGAGGGGTTCTGGCTCTAATCTTAGCCATGCCCGCAGTGCAAGTTATGAAGGTAATAGGATAAAACTAAACTAAGTGCTATCAAACTTTTTTCAAGCTCTAGGCACAAATCTAATCTCTTCTAACACAAATTTGACTAAGATGGATCTACGGATAGGTGAACAAAATATTCACTTATAATCCTAAAAATCCATTCATTACATGAAGTTACAGGCATATACCCAGTTATCTATATGTCAAAGTTCTTGGAATTCTCAACTTTTGTAGAAAATATAATTTTGTACATGTGTAATGTTGCAGAACTTCTAACCAAATCAAACATTTTTGGCATTTAATTTCAGTCCCTGCTGAATACAGTTACCTCAAAACTAACTTCTTCTTCTTATCAATGGCTCAGGTTCCACAATGCACAATTATCACATTAGAAGTTAGGCAGAAAGTAAAATTACACAATCTTAAAGGCTTTTTAAAGAGATTTCAAACTTCTTTGAGAAGTCTATGCAATTTATTTTGGAGGAGACTCAAAAGCAAGAGATTTGATTTCTTCTTATATTGCTGAAATCTTTAACAAATCCACTAATCTATACATTCCTCCAATACAGAAAAGTAACAAGAATTTTTACAGCAAACTTGGTCCGCTGCACCTATACCTGAGTTTTATTTAGTTCTTTAAAAAAAAAACCCTTTCCACTGATTCTTATTTTTCTCCTGTTTACTAATTTTTATGTTAGCAGAAGACCAGCATTTGATTCTCAAAAGGGACACAGTCACTAGAGAGCTTCTAAATTTTATTCATTACTTAACCAATCCTCCTTAAACATCCTTTCCTATGTAAAGCCACATCTCCTTTAAAATTACTTTTCTTGGGGGGATGCGCCGGTCCCCAGCATGGCGGCCACGTGGCCAGCTGCTCTGGGGGCCGTGGCTGCCCAGCTCCTCGGTGTCCTGTGGTTCGTGTCAGTCACCACGGGACCTTGGGGAGCTGCTGCCATCGCCGCCGCCAGTGGCGGGGAGACGCTTAAGTGCGAGGACCTCAAATTGGGACAATATATTTGTAAAGATCCAAAAATAAATGATGCTACACAAGAACCAGTTAACTGTACAAACTACACAGCTCATGTTCCTTGTTTTCCAGCACCCAACATAACTTGTAAGGATTTTGGTGGCAATGAAACACATTTTACTGGAAATGAAGTTGGTTTTCTCAAGCCTGTATCTTGCCGAAATGTAAATGGCTATTCATACAAAGTGGCAGTTGCGCTCTTTTCCTTGGATGGTTGGGAGCAGATCAATTTTACCTTGGATACCCTGCCTTGGGTTTGTTAAAGTTTTGCACTGTAGGGTTTTGTGGAATTGGGAGCCTAATTGATTTCATTCTTATTTCAATGCAGATCGTTGGACCTTCAGATGGAAGTAGTTACATTATAGATTATTATGGAACCAGACTTACAAGACTGAGTATTACTAATGAGACATTTAGAAAAACACAGTTATATCCATAAATATTTTTAAAAAGAAACAGATTTGGGCTTCCTTGATTTCAATAGAGCACTCTCAGTATGTGGATTTCCAGATTATCCTTTTTCTTCATATACCACTTTATGGATTCTTTATAACTTTTTGTTGATATTTTTTGTTTTGTTGTTTTACTTAAAAGCATATTATTCTGAGATTTATTTAATTGGACTTTCTTTGAGAGCTGTGTGATAATTGAGTCTTAGGCTACTGTCTCCATGAGATAGATAGCTTATTACCCCAATATTCTTTAATGCCTTTTCCAAAGGCAAGTTGTGACTTGTCGTTTTCGCTTCTGAAAAATAAAAGAATGACTTATTCACACAAAAAAATTACTTTTCTTGCCTTTTGTGCTATGCTAAATAATTTCCAATGTTAAGTTTGTGTGTGTTGTGTGTGTGTGTTTTGATACTTCCTTATTTGTAATGTGACACAGTAATACAGGGGGCTAACTGCATTCCACTGAATCTGCCCTCCACTGAAATGGTCCTGCGATCACAGACTACCACAGAAGGGCCATGGATGGGGACAAGGGAGGTCGTGCAGGAGTGTGGACATGGAGAGAAAGCGAGGCTCAGGGATGAGGAAACTCTCCTATCATCATAAGAGAAGGCGAAGTGGCAAAATGTCTCCAAATAACCAAGTTGTTACTATTTTCTTTCAGTTTTCTGCTAAGATTTTCAAAAGTGCTTAACCTACGCATACTAAAATTTCAGCTAGTCTAAAATATTTTAATGGCAAATATAGAAAAGTTACAGCTTTCAAGATCTAATCTTTTTAGTAGTGGACTTTTACACTCACTATAGAAATGAAACAAGGATATAACCCACCAGATACAAATGGGTCAGTTTTCACAATTCCATAATTTTAAAGGAAATATTAAAAATGAATATACTCCTCAGTACAGTCAGAACCACCACCAAAAGTCCCTTAATTTTTGAAGCAGAATTTTTTTTCCAGCATTGTTTTCTTTTTGGTCACAGTCTATCTATGTTATATCCTTCGTAACATCATTGCTATCATCTTTCAAAAAATGTCCATCTACAAATTAATTAACTTTCTTGAGACAAATCCCTGGTATACTATTCTTCTGATTCCCATGAAAGACTCACTTTTAAGATACAATTGCAGCTGCCCCACACTGCCAGTTACTGTGTCATACACACGCCTTAAAATTCTGTAATCAGCAACCACCAGGTGCCGTATCGCATTCAGCACACCACAGTCAGTCAATACAGACATCCCCAAACACACCAAGGCTGGTTTTGTCAAATGTTTTATTGAGTGTAGACATCTGGAGTACTGTAAAACATGCATTATCTGTAGATTCAAAAAGGAGCAAGCCACATTGTCCTCACTGTCAAATGTGTCAGGCTTGGCATACATGATGGAGATTAATGAAGTATCATGAGAGTAATATGGTTCCTGAAAAGCGTCTACAATTTGGAGTAGGGTCTTAATCACGTGAAAAGCAAAGCTGTTCACATTCAGTGAACTTGCATTTCATTGGAGGTACACAGTATTTTAATTTTAAAACAAAAATAATTCTGTTTTTAGAAGATTCCCATCCCCCAACTTTATTTTCCCCTCAGTTTTCAGAAATGTTGATTTAAAAAAATCATATCCATTTTTGGAAGTTGTACATTTATCTGAACAATAATTAAAATTTATTTCTTCTTCGGTTGCTGAGGTGTATTAAATTTGAAGAAGATAATATCTCCATCTTCGACAATATAATTTCTGCCTTGTTGTCTGTACTTTCCAGCAGCCTGTAAAGAAGAGATAGAGAGGAAATGGGTTATTTTACAATGAAATACATGAGGTAAACGAGAACATCAGATGCAAAAAGTATTCTATTTCTTGGGTCATATTAAACAAAAAAAGAAACACAGGAAAATACGTAAGTTCAAAACTAGACTTGGAGAGAAGCACAGTATTCCTGATTTGGGCAGAACTAGATTTTCCATATGTACATAATCATAATGTATTCTCTACTAAATTGTTGGTACATAAATGTAATTATACCAATATCATTAAGTTTCATTACATGCTGTTTATGGTACATTTCTGATGTGTCTGCAAACATCCGGCAAGTCACTGTAACAAAACAGATCAAACTAGGCAGGAAGAAAAGACTATATAACTAGTTTGAAGCTACTTTATTTTCTTAAGGAAATTATTTGGTGATACTGGTGATGCCAAAATGAGTTTGCTACAAGGAAAACTATTCTCAATCTTAATGTACAGATTTTAAATTATTTCCTTGTAGTTTTTTATTTAGTCTTGACAATGACCACACACAGTGGTGTGTGCTAGAATTCACCACGAAGAAGTTTTTTGACTATGGGCCCTAGTTACAAGCAGACTCTAACAGGTTGGAACTGCAAAGAGAGAGACTTTTCCCACTCGCAAATCAGTCGGCAAAGCAAACGATTCCACCTGCTGGTATGCAGATCCAGAAGCGCAATCCACCAGTAATTCTAACGCCAACAAGCAGCAGCCCCAGAGACCCAGGTTCACCCCAGACACAGCACACACACTTCATCCAAGCACAACAGGCTCTTCGGCACCTACACTTAACATTGCACACAACTGACACAGTCCCACATGACCCCACCATCGACCCCTCAACAATGAGAACTCGAGGATCTTTTGGAAAAAATTCTCCCAAGTATTTTCTTTCTGCTAGAATTTACTGAGAACATGAAACCTCTGCCCAATAAGATTAGTACTTCTCTTTGAGGATATTGATGAGGATGTTCAAAGTCAAGTGCAATTATATTAATCAGAAATAACCCTAACAAAGATTGTATATCTGAGGTTAAAATCAACAAACCAGATCACAGAACCCTAGTAAGCACATTTTCAAATGTCTAGACTACATATTAAAAATCACCTACTGATACTGTGCTATTAAACTGGAGCTAACTTTTTAAAAAACCAAGATACCCTAACATTCTAAAAGATACAGATATACACATACACACACATAACCACATTCACATGATTTCTGTAAAGACATGTGATATATTGATGGCCATATGCTACTTATTTTGAGAATCTGAAGCCCACTGTTATAAAACTATATAGACAATTTAAATCAAATACATATTGACATGACATATTAATGTAAGTTTATATACTTTGTTACCACTCAAGCTTACTACTAATTAAAGGTGACAGTGTTCCTTTAAATTCTCTAGAGACCATTTAATCCATTTCCACTGCTATCAGAAACACTGGTTGAAAAAAAAAATCAATACCCATTTGTGAATCTTGAGTATGTATTAAACAAGACACGTCTAACCAGTTCATTTGCACTTGAAAGCAGCCATCTGTAGAAGCCAGCTTTGCCTAAGCAGATATGATTGCTAATAATGTGATATCCCTGTAGACTACAAAGCCCACACAGAGCTATTCAGTATATAGTTCACAGCACTGGCATTAAATTAGTTATGCTGCACTGGTGTTAGAAATACACACACACACACACACACACACACAATCTTGCTCTCAAACCTGAAACCTACTTGATAATATACAAGTAAATATTTGTTGAATAAGACAGCAAAAGCAATTCATAAATGTTTTACTTTACTCAAGAGTTCAAATTCTGAAATGTTAGTTTTGGAGATTAAAAGCCACACCAAATACTTAATGGTATTCCAAGCTGAAAAGCCAGAGGTCAATCTTTTCTAATTCATAGTATAAAAGCTTCCAGTTAGCATAAAGCATTTCTATAAGCAAGAAATATTATTTTATTACATATTATAAGGTTTCTCTATTTTGTACAAGGAAGCATTCCCAATTTATATATCTTTCAAGTTTATTACAACACAGACATCGATTAAAGATTGGTAAAACAGGTTTATACATGAGAGTATAGAAAAGAAGCATCGGTTCCTGAATTCTAGTAATAGAAAAATACACTTATTTTAATCATCTTTACTCTATGAAAAATATATATGCCAACATGATGTAGCATGTTGAAAAATAATCAGATTTTTCAAGTCTGATTAGTATTCCTGACAAAGTTCAATCTCAATATTTGCGTACCTATCGATACAAATGACACCATTAAAAAGTTAATGACTTTGTTTAGTTATAAAATGTAACTTTTTCCACTCCACTTAAGAAAACAAAATGGCTCTCATTCTACATTGAACCAATTATACCAAGATTTTTCCCTCTTCCTCCTGGGGTTCCAACAGTTCTATTAAAGTCCTGCTGTTCAGTATGATTTTTCCAATGATTACCAATGAGAATAAACTAAACTTGAAATAAACTTTTTTGCATTCCTTTCAAATTATGAAATAGTAAACACAAGAGAGACCTCTTTAACTTCTGCAATATTTTCTATAGTAGTCTTCAAATATCAAATTAAATTAAAGGTAAAGAAGCCTTCCTACAATGTCAGTTTAATCACTTGACCTATTTATCGATTAGAGATGACATAGTACTAGATTTTGCCAAGTAAAACCTAATAAAGCCAAACAAAATTAAGCTTGCAGCAGAATTTACATTTTAAAAAAATCATTTATTACTCATGTATAGCAATGCTTCATTGTTAGTGGCTGCAAATCAAATTATACTTATTAGCTAAAATAAAGCACAATTTTGGACCTGCCCTCTAGTGTTGAGAAAGCAAATCAAATTCCCAAAGATCTTAAAAAAAAAAAAAAAAGTACAACTATGAAGATTTGGCAAGAACAGGTTTTATTTAACTAAATGTCTGTCCCTTTCCTTGAATTAACTATAAGCATATAAATACTACTTCTATTTCGGATATTCAAAAGTACTAAGTATAATTTTTCATTGCCGTTTAGTGAACAAACTCTTTGAAATTATTTATAATTACCTAAAACTACTTTTATTTTCAGTTTTAGAAATATATTAATATACAACACAAATATACTGACAATTCACACATTTTAACAATTATCTAAAAGCATGTAAACATCTACAGCTTTGCAATCAGTTGACAGTAACACTAAACCCTGACACACATTTTAAAAGACAGTTATCATTCATTTTACTCACGAGTATTTTCATATTAGTAAAAATTATAAATACAAAACCAGAAAATAATTCCTTACCTTGACCGCATTTTCAGAACCTTCCTCTTTAAAATCTTCGTATTTCATTACTTCAGCCATAATGAATCCTTTTTCAAAATCTGTGTGAATCTTTCCTGCAGCTTGAGGAGCCTTCGTCCCTTTCTTTGAGAAGAAAGACCAGAGAAAACTAATTGCATTTAAGATGATTGACTGTAAGCGTAGAGTTTCTTTTCTCTGATCAGCAGTGGGGTTCAACTTAAACTTAGT